ACCCTTGTCATGTCGAATTCGAAACGGCCCACAGATCCTAAAAGTTAGAACCAAATCACCGCACTGCTAATGTCAATTGTCAATTGTCAGTGCAATGGCAGTTCAACCACATCACTATCAAAATTGTGTTTGTATTTTTGCTAAGGGATTCAACCCAACTTTCGATTGTTATAGATATTTTTAGGCTCTATATTCCAGAGATTCATCAGAGGAACAGGAACAACGTTCCCATTCTACCTCACAAATGGCGTCGGATCGTACCAACGTAGCGAACTTTATCAACTCGAGTGCTAGCGTCTGTATTATTCGACCGGTGTTTAATAATAATAATAATAATAGCGGTTTCAGCGTTTATTAGGCCGTAGGCCTGTCGCCGATTCATAACATCGCAGAACATCCACAGCTTGTTGCGGTCTCGAACTCGCAACTCACTGCTACAATTCTGCTGTGCTTAACCGCCCGGCCTCCTTGCCGATTCTGACCAGAAACTGGCGCACAGAGCTGGGATCGAACCCGCGCCTCTCTGCGCCAATCTTGGTACTCAGGAACTGTAACCACTGGGCCACCCTGCCTCACACTGTTTAGATGCTCTATTTTTCGGCCGAGCGAGTTTTCCCAACCAATCTGGTTGTTCGAATCCATTGCGCTCTAATCCATTGCGAATAATTGGTTTTCACAAAATATGCTGCAGTATAATGTACAACCAATGCATTTATAATCGGTTTTGGTGGGAGCACCGAAGAAAATATTGAGACAAGTCGATTTGTCAAGATTTGTCAAGTGAAGATAAATTTGTCAAGTGAAGCATTTGTAATTAAAAAAACGAATAAACTCTAACTATACAATATTTAATCAATCAGTTTTAACTCTAAAACTAGGAAGGTGACACTGACAAGCTGCTTGGTGAGACTTGTATTAATCTGTCTATTGCCAGAAATCTCATTGATTTTGATAATTATGCAGACAATGCACCAACAAATTCGCAAAAAAACGCGAAGGTCGAAAAATCCTACAAACCTACTTAGAAAGATAACTGAAATTTTACAAAATAAGACTTGCAGACAATATATTTCACGCTAGATTCCAAACAAATAGTTTATCAGCTGTTCATTCCGCCATTATACTTAGAACTATTTATTCGAAGTGCATTTAATACTCTGACTTTTTCTCCAATATTCAACAACAATAAGTTAATGTTTCTTCGATTTAAACCAATTCTTATGTGAACCAAAAAGAGATGTTGTTGCCGACAATCATCGCTAACAAAACTGAAAATAATTTTGTTGCATGAAGAAACTTCTATCACTTAACCTGATGGCAGTCTCATTCGCCCCGACAGTCTCATTCGCCCACATCACACAACTGAAAATCATATTGTTACATTGATAAACTGCAATCACATAACCTGATGGAAATAATGATAAGGTGACAAATTTTCACAATTTTTGTTCGACTAGACACACATAAACTTATTTAACCGTTAATATAACTAACATTTTTCAGCTATTTTGGCTCGCTCTTACTTTTAAACATTGCACTTGCTAAATATTGTTTAGTCCGCTAAATTGTTTAATGTATTTTTGCATTATTTCTTCTGCTCCAGTCCAATAATATATCTAACTTTTGAATATAATAATGTGTATGGAAATTACTGGCATATCAATTCACCAGGACCGGTCATACCTGTTTCCTGGGGAACCCCTGCTGAGGGAGGCTCTTATTCCTGGCCATCTCGCGCTGCTGGTGGGGGCACAACACCAGTTGCTGGACCAAATAGAACATTACTTAATTTAATTTAAATAAAACAATACATTATTTTATATAAATAGAACATTAATTAATTTAAAAAGAACATTGCATTATTTAATTGAAGTAGAACATTACATTATTTTATTTAAATAGAGCATTACATTATTTAATTTAAGAAGAACATGAGACATGACATTATTTAATTTAAGTAGAACATGACATCATTTTATTTAAGTAGAACATGACATTATTTAATTTAAATAGAACATGAAATTATTGCTGGATCAAATAAAACACTTTTTAATTTAAGTAGAACAAGACATTATTTATATTAAATAGAAGATTACATTATTTTATTTAGATAGAACATTATATTATTTAATTTGAGAACATGGCATTGTTTAATTTAAGTAGAACATGACATTATTTAATTTGAGTAAAACATGACATCATTCAATTCAAGTAGAACATGACATTTAATTTGAGTAGAACATGACATTTGATTTGAGTAGAACATGACATTATTTAATTTGAGTAGAACATGATATTATTTAACTTCAGTAGAACACTACATTATTTAATTTTAGAGAGAATAGGAAATTTAAAAATGGAGAATAAGAAACATCAATAAACGCACATGTCAAAGGAAATAAAACGAGTTTTTCTGATAAACAAGAATATATGCTTGTCATGTTTTATTAATTGCAACGAAGCCAAAAAATTATAGCCAGTTGTTTTTAAATCGCTGCCAGTGATGATGAACATTTAGTTAGAGTCGTCCATCACTCACCATAATACATTAGGGACCAACATAAAACTCCATGTGAGTTTTAATGAATTGATTTATTATTAACGTTTAATGATTTGAAACGAGAGCGACTCGTACGTGACGTCAGCTTGAAATTAAAAATTGTCATCACACAGGAACCGGCCACCTATAAACCGCCTGTGCTAAGTAACATTAGTGATTGAGTAGAATAGAAGTGTCGGCCCTGAATAAATAGGCCCATGGCCTGTTGCCGATTCTTGAATTTTTCGTGACTTGATTCACAAGGGATCCGGCCTTTGGAACCCGATCTTTCCATAACTGACGATTGATTGAGATAGCTGCTGGACTTATTGCCTGGTCCGTAATTTGCTAGGCATTTTAAGACTGAACATATGCTCCTGCATAGCTTCGTCTGGACTTATTGCCTGGTCCGTAATTTGCTAGGCATTTTAAGACTAAACATATTCTCCTGCATAGCTTAATTCGTCTAGTCTGTTCTTGAAGGCGTTCATACTCGGAGCGTCAACGATGCTGTCAGGGAGGCTGTTCCACATGTCGGTGACATGTAATGATCTATTCATCTATTCATCAGTTCATAATTCGTTAGTAATGATTTGTTAACATATGGAGAATGTAATACTTTTACACAAGCAAGATGTATTCGTAACAGAAGCTTAAATTAAGATTTAATCAAATAATAAATTGACAAACAGTCTTTAATCGCACCGTCCGGACTCAGGCATCGGTCGGCATGGCTCGCCATGCTCTTGCACCGTCTGTTGTTTTCTCTTGGTATGAACCCTGTCGCTCTTATAATATTTCTTATGAAGAATGCGCAACTCGTCACTAGGTCCTATATTTGGGACAAACATTTGGTCCTTGATATAGATAATGGGGCAATTTCGTAAGCGGTTAATTGAATAGCTTATTTTACACGTGGTTGTCCTGGGTGAAAGCAAGATGACGGCGTCCATGCAGGTTTATAGTAGAGGTCTATTTTGGCGACCTCCTTCCAATTCCTTGAAACTCCCGAGCTGATTATAGTTCTGCTCTACGTTCGCCTACAGGAACCCAAAATAGCAGATCATTTACTTAATGATCCTTCACTACATTGAAATTGGTTAGCATGAATTTCCAATGGGCTTTCACGCGACTGAATCCTAGCTCATTCTATCAATGACACTTGAGTCGCGGCTGGACTTATCCTGGCAAAAGTTTCCCTCCGGACTGGAGCCACTCACATATAAAGCCATATATGGTACATGAAATTTGATTAGAACTTTCCGGTAACTTGCTGGAAGCTCAGATATTTTTTGCACTAAAAGAAGCAAACCCATTTTATTACATCTTATTTCGTGTATTGCTGGCTGTTCATGTGGAATTGAACATTTGTTGGAAACATTTTGCCTGTTTGAAGCTATGTCTCTTAGATTCGAAGTTATAAACTATTCCTACAAATAGCAGATCTCGTCGTCGTTTATTTCAAAGACTTTCACCATTTAATAATTTATGCTACCAAGCTTTTTCCCGCACTCGTTGCTCAAAATGAAGTTAAACCCCTCCTGAACAAGCCCCAAGTTTGACCGGGGCCTACCAGATTTACCAACATATACACCGGGATTACCAGCACGACAGGGGGTAACGTGTCACTTGCAGCAACAACTTATCACATACCTCCTCACGAGCCGTGCCAGTTCAACTTGCTCTTGTGTGATGCTGAGTTCATGGCCTTCAAAAATGGTATTATTAATTTCTACAAATCAGTTTGTTCAGTCCCTATCAAATGTAAATTACCATTATAATTACTGAACATTTCTCTTTCACTCACTCGCTGAACGCCGTCGACTCGCTCTCTCCTTTAGTCTCTCGAGAAGCTCGAGAGTTTTTCGCTTATTTCGAAGTTTTTATCCAGGGTGACATGGTCGCGGCAACTTTCTAATCAGTAGCCCATTTAGCGATCGCCTCTACCCTCGGTAGACGGAGTGTTGGAAAGTCCTAAGCGTAAGAAACACAACTGAAATTTCTAATACCTGCTTCGCTATTTACGCTCGATAGTCACTTCAGAGCAACATTCCATATACATGTCGTATAAATTAACAAAGTTGTTTTAAGGCAACCAAACTATATTGAGACTTTCTAAAATGCTAGTCTTTTTGAACTAGTGATTTTCTTAAACGCGCTACCATTGTGAGATATGAAACGACTCTTTCATGACATAGGCTACGCTCCCTGAAAACAAATATATAAGACAAATAAAAAGAAAAGGTAAAATAAATCTAGGATAAATAAATAATTAAAGATTAAAAGATAAAATATCTAATTGAATAGATACGTTCTGCATTCATCGGGGTCTAGGTCTCAATACAATTGATTTAGGTCTGGGAAGAGTGGAGTGTGTTGAAATGACTGCCTCTTAGTTGACGAAATTCGCGTGAACAGATTAATCCAAAAAAAATTGTTTGAAATGGGTAAGTAAAAGCGATTGGTACATTCATCGTTTATTATTTGAATGCAGTGGAAATATGCAAGAATTTGTGCAACTCGAAAGTATAACCTATTTAAATAAGTGTAATAAGTGGGGGGAGAGAGCAAACTAACGAGGTATAAATATTATTCACTAGCACAGAAGTGGTACGCTACAAATGCCCTACGTAGCGACGAGACATCAAACTTCAGCGACAGCCTGCAGCTTCATTTCATTTCAGGCTTCAACTCACTGCCTGTCCAGTTTCACTCCACTGCGTGCCAAGCTTCACTTCACTGCACGCCCAGTTTCACTTCACGTCAAGCTTCACCCCACTACGCGTCCAGTTTCACCTCACTGCTTGTCAAGTTTCACCTCAATGTGCGTCGAACTTCACTACACTGCGTGTCCAGTTTCACCTCGCGTCAAGCAATCCTATGTTCCATGAATACGAATTCAAAACTTAATACAGTTAACAGGTGTATAACCTCTGGTACGTTTCAAATTCTTCACTTGCTCCATGAAATCGTCGATCACTCAACAACAGTTGGTATTGCTGAAAAATAAAGTAATGTGACGAATTTACATATTTTGGAAATTTTTTCCTCGTCATCACAGAACACAGAAAACGTCTCACTCTGCTGAAGTTAAAAACTTAGTCCACGTTTGACATGAACTGGAACTAAACTGACGATTTCAACTAAATACAAAAAATAAACCATTTTTATTTAACTAATAGGGAACGCTACGTTACTTATAAAAAAATCTGATTAAATTACTATATTGTGTGCTTACTTACATTTTTATTTAAGTTTTAGATATGGACTTGAGTTCTGGTGAGTTTCACGCAGAACTCGTAACGTGCACCTATTTCACATTTCGTAGTCATGTCCATGCGTAACCACGAAATTTTTATTTTTTTTTTTAATTTTATCATGGTCACGCATGTGTGACCATGCAATAACTTCAATGGACTCCAATTTAAAAGGACGGCCTGAGCTTATTTTCTCGTTTATATGGAGCAGTCAGCAAAACCATGACAAGTCAGTAATACTTTCAACAAAAAATATTTCTTCCTGGTATGGAACGTCGCTGGTGTACAACTAACATGTACACATAACAAAACGGAAACAAAGAAAAAATTAAAATGTTTTTAAAATTGAATGACAATGTCTACTGCAAAAAAAATATCTACTCCAAAGCTACAACATCGCTCGAAAAGTTAACGATCCATAAAAAAGCTAGTTACATAAATGCGATATAGCGATCCATAAAGTTATATTGATAAGTTGAGAATATCTTGATGCAGCGCATACATTGTTTTAATATGAAGAATACAAAGTCTCTTGTATCCGCATGTAGGTATGAATCATGGATCTCAGATCACAGTTATGCTGTCAGCTGCCAAGTTTAATCAAAACTCTTTAAAAAATAATTTAGCTGCTCTTCAATTTTAAACTTCTACTTGACCGACGAAACCGCTAAAAGAATGAAACAAAGTCACTTAGCGTATAAATTGGAGTTCATTTCAACTCCGAATTAGACATCTATAAAATATCAATTCACAATTCAACAAACTAGCAATCAAATTGTTAACTACTCGATGGTCCAAAACTCCTCAGAACTTATTAGGTAGGAAGGTTCCATGGAGTGAACCACCAAGCTGCTGGTCGATCTCGGCGCGCGCCAAAGGCTGCATGGTCTTGGCATCGAGCACGACGAGAGCGTTACGCTCGTCGGGGTGCGTGCTGACCGTGTTGAAGATCAGCACCCCGTCGTCCTCGTCGCGGGCCTCGGGGTGCGCGATGAACAACGCCTCCGTGGATATCGTGTCGGCTGACGCGTGCCACTTCCAGCACTCGCCAGTCTCCACGTCCACCTTCCCAACCTGCGGGGAAAATCCGATGAGTCGGAGGAAAATTTTTGGCTCAACTTTTGAGTACACACCTGGGAGTAGGAACTTGCGGTCTAAAAACGAAAAATAATAAAGATGAGAATATTCTTCGGTAAAAGGTAAAAGAAATATATTTTTCTTTAAGTGTACCTACGGACTTGAACTCTCAAGCATAATCTACCTATGTTTCATTGGTTTCTCAAGTTAGCTCTAAAATGATGAGAAGCTCAAAATTGAACAGAGATTCGAAAGTGAACAGACTCGAAAATGGACGATAATAAAAGGCCAAAACACTTAAAAAGTACTATCATCGACAGCATATCATTATTGTTATGCTCATCAGAGGTGGCCAACTACACTCGAGTTCAATGTTCGTGAGACTTAAAGGCACTGAACTGGAGCCGCTCACGAGGGGATCCCTCTTGCGGCTCCAGTTCAGAGGGGATCACGAGGGGATCCCTCTTGAATAAATGGCTTTTCACGTTTACTTCTTTATATGTAATACTACCTAGAGGCTAGCACAACGCTGTACCAATCAGATAATTGTTAGAACACATCTCGTAGAGTTCTAAAAAATATGTTTTGTGCGTTGTTTTAGCAACTACCATCCCTCTCAATAATGTACAACTATAATCATCGCCAGCATTTGGCTCCTTGAATTTGATCTCACGTAAACACTTACGACGCCTTCGACTTGACCCTTACCGAACCCTTTTTACCATTTACATATAATTAACAATTTGCATTAAATACTTTTAAGGTCACGAGGCACAACACTTTATTAGGAATTATCACTCACGGCGCCCTTGAAGTATCCCTGTTCCCAGCCTCCACAGCCCCACATGTAGCGGTAGGGTTTACTCCTGAAGGCAGGGTTCAAGATGGGCATGTCGATGCCATCCTGGCCGATGACCTGTGACTCCAGACTGATGAAGTCACCGAACTGATTATCGTAAGTCCTGATGGCTGATGCCGAGCATCCGGGAACTTCGACCAGCTCTTTGTTGCACTCCAGGTTCTGAAAAGCAAACAAAATTAGTTTTCCAAAATAAATTCTGCGGACATGGTTATTATATTAGAAAATTAATCGATCGATGCGTGACTCGTCCTTATTTTACATTCCATGCTTCAGGTCAAGGACTACTACACACAGGACATGCATAGCCTATGTCCAGCCTCTGCTAGCAGAGGCGATCGCCTACACTATGAAAATGCTGTTGTTTTAGTGGCATCAACATCAGCATTTTCATAGTGTAGGCGATCGCCTCTGCTAGCAGAGGCTGGACATAGGCTATGCATGTCCTGTGTGTAGTAGTCCTTGCTTCAGGTATAACTTTGTAGTTGTAGACGATTCGATCGAACTACGATTTAACTGCGATAGTTCTATAAATTCCTCTCCTCTACCTGATATAAAAAGGAGATCATTTGGATATTTTAGACAATTGTATCTCTAGTGATACACAACAAATGTCTAACAAAATCTCAAGCTAGCGATGTTGGCCTTAATGTGATTTTACCATCACATCGCAATAGATTCTTACGACTGAGAATTCACGACAGCAATCACGATCCCAGTTGTTCGCACATAATTAACGACATCAATTACGTTTTCTGTCTTTTTTTCTTGAATTTGCGATAGCAATCACGATCCCTGGTATTTGCTCATAATTAGCGACATCAATTACATTTACGAGGTTTCTTCCAATAATTCACGGCATCAATTACGTTTTCTGACTTTTTTCCTATATTTCACGACAGCAATCACGGTCCCTGTTGTTGACAATAATTAACGACATCAATTACGTTTTCTGACTTTTTTCTAATAATTCACGACAGCAATCACGAGACCTGTCGTTTGACAATAATTAACGACATCAATTACGTTTTCTGACTTTTTTTCCTATAATGCACGACCGCAAACACGTTTCCTGGTGTTTGCCCATAATTAACATCAATTACGCAGTTTTTTTAATTCACGACAGCAAACACGTTTCCAGGTCTCTGTTTTTGCGATGATTCACGATAACAATCACGATTCTTGATGTTTCCATACGATATAAAATTAACGTAATCTTACCTCCATCTCGCTTACGATAGGCAGCACAAATCTCCTCAACCTGGCGAAATCTCCGTCGCACGGGTAGCCTTGAGTCTTCATATTGTCTAGGTAGAGATTGTTGATAATGTCCGGTGATGAATAAGCGATCAAGTCAACGACGAGTTGATTCTTTATCTCGTAGCAGTTGACGTGATGGAGGACGAAGAATATTTCCTGCGTATAATATTTGGTTGACAAAACCTCGCCTGTGTGCTTGTTGAGGACGATGAAACGGATCTGTGAGACAAGGCGAAATTCATTCATTTCGTGAGATCGACTCGAGCACAAGAAAGCACAATACGGAAGAAAAATTATCATTTGGAGTGGTTAATTTCAATATAAATGGAAACAAAAAATTAATCTTACACCAGGCTTATCAATGTTATGCTATTCCAAATTCATATATGGATTCATACTGTAATTCCCAGCATTCTGAGTTCACCTTCTAGAGTCTGTTTTTCTTTTTGGAATATCATTCAATTGATTGAGCTGGTGAACGCGTTTTAGCCCAAATTATGGCGTTTTTTACAACTTTATTAAATTGGCCAAGAAAAATAATAAGAAATTCAACCCAAATCTACGTAATATCTGAAAGCAAAGAAAACGCAAAGAAATTCAATGTATCTTTCGGAGACCTACTCCATCGCTGGTTAAACACAATTTTTGTAAAAAAATCAAGCACGACTTATAATCCTAATACTTTTTTGTTTCATTGCTTTTCAATTATCGGTTTACCCGAAATTCCAGTAAACTATTCATATAAGAATTTACTTAAGTAATATCTCACTGACACGTTCTTGAGGATGCCAGTCGATACACTGGGCAAGGGAGCGTCCTTTAGCTTGACTGGTGGCGAGCTTAAGTATGCTGATGAGGTAAGGCTGCTCCACGAAGACGAGGTAGCGGTCGCTCACCGAGAAACTGTGCACGTAACTCATCGAGGCCTTCCAGCTAGACGAGATGGTTGTCAGGACACGGGCGTCACTCCACGGGTCAGAGCCTGCGGGCGGAGTAAGTATATTTTACAGCAATCGCAATGGAAGCAATCACATGATAAACGATCTAATTATGAACAGCTTATTAAATAATTTCAATTGGAATTCAAGTTGTCTTGTGATGGACTATTTTGGTCACATATGAGACCCTGGTCGCTCATAAGCAAACTTGCAAAAAATCTAAGCATACATACATACATGTACGAAGTCAAATCTGCACAAGTAGAAGCCAAATACTAGCAATAATTTTCAATTGATCCAAAACTCATAAATATTCAATTTGATCCTTCCAAACTATCATCATATAGCATTGAAACAATATATGTAACCTTGGTTCTAGCAATTTCGTTCCCAAAATCTCTCCTTCTTGTTTCGACCCTAGGTTCTTAGAATTTTTACCTTAAATTTGTATTTGTGCTAATAACGCAGGATAAATTTCAGAAGATTTATAAAAAATTAAATTTATTTCTTTCCTTAAATTTGTATTTGTGCTAATAATGCAAGATAAATAATCAGAAATTCTAAAAAATAAATTAATTCCTTTCTTAAATTTATATTTGTGCTGATAACGCAGGATAAATATAAGAAGATTTCTAAAAACACATGTTACGATGCATGTTGAGGACTCACAAGCGCCCTTCCCATCGGCAAGAGGCGGCACCCTGACCACGACGTATTTGGGGCCCGTGGAGAACGAGGTGCCGATGTTGTAGGTCGTGCCGTCGTGGTCGGTCACGGGGTGTGACGAGATGAAGTTCACTCCCGTCAACTTGTGCAAATCAATCTGAAAATTTTATAATGTTGATCGATTGTGAGCAATTTTGCCGCTTAGATATTTGCTGAGAAACATTTGGCACTATACATAAGTTCGATTTTCACTTTCAATTTTCTTTACTTTCTTAATTAGCTGGCAGATCCGTGATGATCTGACGAAGATATATATGTCGTGTTTGAATTCGAATGTTATTTTGAATGATGCCAACGAAATGGATATGAACAAAATTCGATGAAATTGTTACCGTCCAATCAATCCATATAGTGAACACTTATAAAATGTTGAAGTTGAACCCTTGGCAATCAAACATTGCAACGGAGTTCGTTAAAAACATACATAGTCAAGACTAAGTAAAATTCACAAATTGAAGATGGTCAAAAGGTTGACAAAAAAAATGTAGACAAAAAGGTTAAAGGTTGACAAAAAAACATTAAAGGTAAAAGGTTGGGATATGAATGATAAAAAATTAATTTTCTACGTTTTTTCGTAGCGACATCACGGCTGACCTTCTCCCTGGTCTCTAGAGTGGCCGGATCGATGCGTCTTAAGAAGAACGTTTCTGACGTCACGAAAACCTCGCCGTTCAGCACGAGAACGTTGCTGCTGGCGTTGTCGGTGACTGATGACATATCCTGGAAGAATAACGCAAGTTTTAGTAGCCAAGCGAGCGCGGTGAAACTTGTAGCAAATGTACACTTAGTGCAAATGCCGTACCTACCTATCTTCTAAATAACTGGCCCAAAATTGACGTGAGTCTCAACGTAAATAAGCACATTACGAAAGCTTGAAGTCGTATGAATGTAACATCTCATGCGAAGTTAAACGATGGTGATGACCCCATTTCAGAAAAATAAGAACATCGTTACAATCTATGAGTGAGTCCAATGTATACGGTTCAGGAAAAAATCATCGATACTTACAATTAATTAATTTCCCACAATGTGAATTTAGCGTCGGTTATCTGTGTAGTTTGAGCTCTGAGGACGCGGTAGTTAGCCCACGGTAGTAAGATCGGTGAAGATGCAGGAGAAAGCGCCAACGATCGTTTGATCAATAACTACTTCACTGCTTTCGTTCAACTGTTCTACCAATAGTGCGCCAACGACAGACGGTCGAAAGGATTCAGTTTTTTATCTTAATGATTCAAATAAAAAAATTGATCCAGTTTTGATTGATCACGAGAACCATATATACACGTATATTGATAAACTTTTAAATAAAAATCCTTTATCCATGGATTACCATCATGAACTCACGAAAGACTGGAGCATGCGGGAGAATATGTTCTTCGAAGGGTCGGGGTAGGACCGCGTGCCGAACTCTGTATACACCGGCCGCTTGGTCGACCGCAGCTTGCGGAACGCGTCTGACTGCAGGTAGCGCTGCCGGAACGTCACCTGAAAAAAAACATGATTTACTGGATCGGTATATTACTGTATTTTTAACCCTTTGCCTATTTGCGGTAACTCTCTTTATCAGGCCATTGGTATGAATGGCATTGGGAAAAGGTTAACGGGTCCATAGATTGAAGGTTAAGTTATCAAGAGGCATTTCTCCGTTAGATAATATGTTTATAGCTCGGGATAGGGTGGTGAGCTCACCTCTCCATTAGGATAGATAACGAACTTGACCATAATTGCCATGCCATCCTGCCAGTGGTTGAATCTGAAGTCGCCTTCCTCAAACTTGCCTGGACCCACCCTGATAAGGCTGCCCTTCAACCACTCAGGTATTTTGCCTGCAAATAGAAAAAATCTAAGTAAAATAAATTTTTTTCGATGTGAAACACAAAACTTATTTGCCGGAAAAAATTTACTAAAGGATATTTAACGAGCGTGGAGGCTTCTTGTATTAATAACGACCAACTTTATTTTATTCTTCGTCGTTATTTTATTAAGTATGATTTATGTGCATAGGAATATGCCGCCCAGTGTCTATGTTTTGATCAAATTTTTCAGCATTAATATAGCGGAATAAAATTCCTTGAAACATTAATGCGATTTTGCTTGCGTTCAACCCAAGGTAATCACGCAGCTCACTATTTTTGGAAAGCGATAATTATTGGAAGTAACAAAGTCACAATTCTTTGATTTCCTTGTACTGAAGAAGGCAGCGCGATGAACTCACTCTCAATTGTAACATGAAAATAAATTTCGAAAGGCAAACTTAAAACAATAATTGAGTGCTCTCTCGATACACAAATTATGCAACCAATTTTCTGAGGTAATATATATATTAATTTGTGAAGCCGTTCCAGGAAAATTTCTATGAAGAGATGAAAAATTTCAAATGTAAAATTTATATACAGAACAGACAGAACTTTTATATTTTTCCAATTTCGGACGCTGCTGTTTGTTGAAGTCGTCAGAATTTAGCAAGTCATTGTTTGAACATCACTGCCTATAGAAGCAGTAGCCTGAGTAAACCTGCACTGCCTCATGATAAAATGCAACCGAGCTAAATCAGGGTGCTGGCTCAATAAAATGCAACCGGGCAAAATCAGGGTGCTGGCTCAATAAAATGCAACCGGGCAAAATCAGGATGCTGGCTCAATAAAATGCAACCGAGCAAAATCTGGGTGCTGGCTCAATAAAATGCAACCGGGCAAACTCAAACGTCTGGATCAATTATTAAAACATGTAATCCTACAGAGAACTAGACTGATGTTCCATACACACTGCTTGACCACTTTGCTTGAATTTTCAAACGTGCAACCAAATAACATTCAGAATTAAAGTATTTAAAGCCTTCAAAATTAAAACCAATTGACTCAGAAACATCCCGAACATATGCTGCAAGCAACGAAAATGAACGTATTCCATGATTTTTAATTAAAAAAATTGTTTCAATTATAATTTAATGCAAAGTGCAAACGCATTCTAGAAGCTCAATTAGAGAAAAATTTTGAATATCCGATTTTTTTAATTCATACCAAACCCTCTGCCTCAAAATCCATCAAATGCTCGTAATGAAAAAAATTTAATCCAACTGTCATCCTAACAATCCTAGCAAAAAATACGAGTTAATAGACCATTTAAATGCCTACAATGGGCAGCAAAGTTTCAAACAACGTTACACTTAATATGAAACCTAGTGCGCGAGGAAACAACGAAACAGGTTTGGACAGGATCTCCTGTCTTGGAAACTGGTTTGCAGACAGGAGACCAGGAGGTGGAGTTCATATTTTTTTCACGGCAAACTCGATCAGATAGAATATTATTATGAGAACGGATAAAAAATTCGACTTGTATTGCCTGCAGTACAGAACCAACGCAGTCCACGCGAGTCAAAAGAAAGCAGAAACAATATTTGCAAAAAAAGTGAAACTAAGTTCCAATAAGAATGCGAAACCTCACTTTTCGAAAAACCAGCCAAGCAGCTAATCTTACTACACAACTTCCTGACACTGACGCATTAGCAGCATCTTTCTTTTTACTGCACTCAGACTGCAAGCCGATATAATGGATTTAGTGTAACATGACAAATTATCTTCGAACAAAAAATAACGAAATGATAATCACAGTCGATATCAGAATTCCCAGTTTACAGGACAATAGATTAATGTGAGGTAAGCTTCGTTACAATACTCATCGGGGAATGAAGCCAACGAAGATTTCAGTAATCAAAAATGACAAACAATCGCCCTCGTTGTAACTAGCTATCACTTGCAACGTAATTGGAGCGTGAGCAGAAGAATCGACTGCAACTCTGCTGAAATCGCCTGCTTGCGTCTGGGTTGCCCTTGTAAGCAGCGAGTAAACTTGAGGCATCGTTAAAAATGTGTATAAATTCTTTTTAAAGTAAGATATATTTTAGTGAGTGAGGGAATTGTTTATTTTTTATTTGGTTTTTGAAGAATGGCTCTGCACATTTTTAGTTCTTATTCAGAAGCGAATCCATGGAAGAAATTGTGTTGAAATATTATGTGCAAAATTAGGAAATTCTATCTCTAACGTCATTACGCATTGGAAAACGGGAATTGGATGATATCATGAAATTTTTTTGAAGAAATTAAAAATATAGAATTATCTTCAAATTTAACAACGGGGGTTCGTTAATGAGGTTAAGAGCGGGTCTTTCTGTCAACCGCCTTATTTCAGTAACCTAATTATTGTTATCGCTAAACAAGCGATGTTAGGGAGGATTCTTCAATGTCTTATATTAATGATGTGTTCAGAGCAGCGCCCGGACCCGATCAAATGCGGGCGCTGCCGATTTTAACCTGATCAAATGCGAGTTCATTAATCTATGCTTTATTATTATATTAGACATAAGCACTTTATGGACTGTGATGTTTCAAACTAAGCGTCCACGAATAATTCCCGAAATTCGAAGTGCAATGCTCACATATTCCAGGTCAACTAAATGCAGCAGGTGACATAAGGCACGAAACCTAATTTGATTCGATCAAACACTTAAGAATATATACAAATAAAAAATGCGTAAAATAAATGTATAATTACCTCGGTCATCATTTTATTAGCTATCGTCTTTAGAAACAAAATAATTTTTTTAACTAAGAGCTAAATAAAGGATAAAATTTTCTTTACGTTAGAGCAGTGACAATTATTACAGTACGTTTATGAGTGTTCTTGCAAATAATTATTGAGGCATGTCATGGAATTGAACCCAATTATAAATTCAATGACGTCACGGCTCATCTCATGCGCAGCAGGTCGTCGGAGGTGCGTACGTTCGCGGCCATGGAATACCCCGGCGACCTTCGAGAGCCAGGAGACAAGCCTGCGTAGGCTCCCATAGTAAAACTTGGCCCACTTGTCAATGAAAGCAAACTCCTAGTTGTTTCGAGTTATTATTTTTATACTTGTTGATGTTATTTAATGTTTTTAGCAGCAAACACATCCATAATTGCGAAACATAATCAAGTCGAACATCCATAATTTTGTGCGGTGATATTGGCACACTGGGTATAAACTCGATATGAAGCGAAACATGTCCTTTTTCAGAAGCAGGCAAATCCATTGAAATTACGATGCAAGTAAATCATCATCTACTGGTCAAGCAGTAAAAATTAGGGTTATAGTTTAAAAACTTTACAAAAGTTCTGAATATGAAAAAGTTTTCATAAAAATAAATTCTGGGTCACATAGGTGATACAAAGGTTTTTTTTTTCTTGATAAAATCTCAGAAACTGCATAAGCAAAGTTTAAAAAAATAAATAAATAAAAAAGGTACAAACAACTACTCTTTTTCTTGGATTTGAAAGAAATTTAACTCCCCTTCATCACGACCATGAAACATCTAGAAAAAAATTCCTCTATAACTCGAAGATATATTGAAATAAGACTTGTGTGGACATGAGAGGCTTAACATTATTTTGTTGCGTTTACGGATGGAACGCGAGCAACGCCTGACCCTGACAGCATGTGCGTTGCTTCAAAAGGCAGCTCAGGTAATAAACAATAACGGCATTTCCGTCTGCATCAGGCGGTCCCTGGATATTTGATAATTTGGGACGACATCACTGATGAACTTTTGAGTCCCGTTAAGGTTGGTGGAAGCGTCCTAATTGTTTTAATGGGCCACTAGCGAAGAAGACGTATGGCTAGATCAGCAGCTTATGACAAGCAGCGTTTGAGCGTAAGTATTATGAATGGAAGTGCAAGAATTTTGCAACATAATTAATTCTGTGGTACATGTTTAACAACTTCATTGAATGTTAACGTTTTTCGGTCGCATTAAACTATGTCGAAAACGTTTTAGATTATTATAATGAGGTGCTATCGCCGAATTATGTCAGTTTCGCAAAACATGCCTTGTAGATGGAATACAGTAGATGCACAGCATAAGCTTTCAAGTTAGCTACAGCTTTACCAATATAATAGATAATATCATTTATCGCATGATAATGCGTAGTAAGAAAAATGAGTCTTGAAGACAAACCATTTACCACGGAAAAATCTTCAATTCTGGCAATTTTAATCGGAGTGTATGGTTAGTAACGCATCGAAATTTTGTACTAGAATATATTAAAATTTGTATTTAACCATTTTCTCATTAGGAAAGTTACATAATTAAAAATAATTACCCTTGGCAGCAAAGAAAATAATATTCTTAAACTACCTAGCTTCAAGGTTCGCTAATCTTCCGAACGCGCATGCGCAGAAATGGGATCAGGAGATTTTCTTGCAGTCCTACAAGCAAGGAAAAGGTCAGGCGCACATTTTTTATGCTTAGAAGAAAAAATTCAAAAATATTGCACTCGTTATTTAATCAACAGAAAAAATTAATTGTAAACTAGACAATGAGTAGACAATTCATCAACTGGAATCAACGGTCAGTGAAACATTCAAATTTCATTGTAGCAAGTAAAATGGATTTAAGGTGGTGCATTACTTATAATTATTAAAGCTTTTCCAAATGAGTTTTACATAAAAAGAAAATAATTAAAAGATATCTACTCATACGAACAATAAATCGAGGCCTGACTGATTGGAATTATGTATACGGCAAATAATTTGCTCGACCATTACAGTGAATTTAAAATATGTAATTTTTAGAAACATTGAGGACTTGTAGCTTTATCCAAACAAATAAAAAGCTTGCGGAAAAACGGCGTGCAATTCAAGCTGATTGAGCAGGTTTTGTCCACAGCAACGCTTTTGAGTCCGAATTTTTTGTCGCTCAATAAATTTCGATATTTCTTGAATATTAAATTTAGAATTGTATCCTTACTTAACATATGCATTATATGGGCATGATTTCGGAAATTCGTAAATGCTGCTTTTAACAAATTAAGAAATCAAATACTTTTTTATTATCAACATATAGTTGGAAAGTTCCCGTTTATACGAAAGATTGATACTATTTGGCATCGAAGTTCTATTAATTAAACTCATTGTTCCTAAATGTGCAAACCCATCATAAGAACAAATCTCTGACAAGTGCAAGAGCGAGGCAGGCACTATAAAAACTTCCTATATACTTGAGCAGGAAAAATGTTGTTAGGCGACCGCTAATAACTATAATAATAATATTAGCCTTGAGCAGAGCGTATGACGCAGCCTTTATGAATTCCCTCTCAAGGAGATAAGTCATGCATGCTAAACAAAAATCGAAAGCGAGTTATGTAGAATGTTTATATGTGTGTACATAAAATTTTACTACACTTTTCAATATCGCGATACATCGTAAATTTTTAGTAAAGCATAGTATGAAATTTTTCGTCACAATAAAAACAGGCACGGAATCAAGTTTACTACGACTAAATGAGTGAAAAATATCTTTACCAAAAACAAAATTTTCAGTCAAAGATAGAACTGGATTTTTCATTGAACTAAGAATGGCGGTTGTTTAATGCAACTTTATACCTTAACCTTACCACCAAAATCTGGATCTCTACCTGCGACGCGTTGCAGTCGCCGCCACGACTAACTTTTATTGCACCACTTGTTCTGCATCACCACGACCACGTCGTAAAATTTTACCAGTTATAATAGTACTTTATTCTAATACTCGGCGATGGATACGGTGAATAAATTGTAAAATAGCGCATGATTAACATGAACAGGCAATTCTCATTATATGACTCATAGCGTGTAAAGATGGCAAAGCTTCTAGAAAATTTTGCTCAAACGAAGAGCCGTTAAGACAGCCTGGGGACTTCAGTGAAATCTGACGCGAAGCACAATAAAAGAACAGCTTCCATGAAAGCCGGAGAGAGAACCAACTAGTAGAACTGCAACTACTGTATATCAACACCCACCACTACTGCCTTTATCTGCAACACTAACATCATTTGCTTGCAAAACATTTTGAAGATGGAGAACGACACACGACAACAACACAAAGAACGACACAAATGACAATTGAAACTCATGTGGAAACAGCGAGTGCCTGTGTACCTAACACATCTCTTTTCGTTATCCGCGGCATTGCACACACAAATACACATACAAAACACACTCACAAAGACACGCTACCAAACACGCAAGATTGCGAACTCTGTGGAGCAGTCGTGCTTCCTTCTATAATTGATGGACAACGCTCACGTTTTAGTAAGCATACCAATTTCTGAATCATTTATGATCCAGGACCATGCTGACAAAGATGGCATATTGTATAAATATAACTTTTTCCAGCTGAAGTTTAATGTTTAATTTATGCACGACAGACACGAATGAACAACCGGAAATTTGAATAAATAATTCAATATGTAAATTTATACAAAAATGTACAAAATTAGAGTACAAGAGTACAAAATTACATTAGGAACACAAACTGTTTTAAATTTAAGGTATAGCAACTATTTCCCATAAATGGTTATCTTAGTGTTCTGAAACACCAATGTAAGTATTGTACGACAGGTGTATTGTACCACCTGTCGAAAATTTAGCTATTGGCATGCAAATTACCACGGAAATACCAAGTAAATGTACTCACCACAAAATATACCACGTAATTACCATGTAAATGTGCTCACCTTCAACCCGTACAGGAATGGGGTCAGGATGTTCGATGGCGTTGAGTGTGAACTGCTCCAGCGTGGGCGAAGACATTCTGACGACGCGCTTTGCGAAATGTTCTGTAATTTCCCAGAAATCTACCGAGTGGTAAAGAAGAAACTGTCGAAAATTCCGCAAACCAAGAAAGTTTTATCTAATCAAGTAGCGATCTTGAACGAAAATAACTTGTGTTTGCAAGCAAATCCGAATGACAATGCGTTGCCTGAAGCCTTTTCAACTCTCAGTCGAGTCGACAAGCTTCGCTGGCTCTCGTAGCTACTGGGAGGAAAGAACCTTGCGTCAGGAGCGTCGTGGACAAACTGAAGCAACGAGGCAGGCGCGTCAGGTATTACCAGGCGACCACCAGATCCGCTGCACGTCAGGAACAACAAATGAAACGCACCATCGGCTCTGCTAAACCTAACCCGACGAGCGCGTATAAAAAATTCTTTTTTATTCCTATAATTAGCGAACTTGAAAGATTGAAAAATTCATCTTTTTTCAACTTTTTCGACGGAATATTACTCATTTCCCTGCATAAGATATTATTTTGGAAATATATTTGTTACAGATGAATTTTAATTATGAGATGAAAGCCTAACTTGAGAATGAGGGGGTATGCAGGTCCGTGAGGTTTGAAGGATGACCTTTCATGGCTAGGTCGGGATTTGTTCTGTATCTCTGTTTAGTGAAATTATGTAAGAACTAATAATTGGAAGCAGACGCAACATTATTAAAAGCTTATCCACGCTGTACTGTGAATAAACTCGAGAAAAATGAATTTAAGTGAAACCACACGTAATTCCGAACGGAGTAAATACTCGATATTATTGAACTGGTGTAAATTCAACAAAAACTCATTTAAAACTGTATAACTCTGAAGCATATATGATATATATCATGTATCATTGAAATTAAAAAACAGTTAGCCCAGTTAATAATTATATAATGAACAATGTACATTGTCACCGACCCACACTCAAACAGAATTGAACTCTTCGATACTTATATCCATATTGTGCTGTACAAAACTATAATCAGAATTACTCACCTGTGATAAAAGTAGACCTTTTTGATCCTTAATCTTTAGTTCAGCAGTGTCTGTATTTGTGTAATACGTAAATCAAGCAATAACGTTAAACTTCAGAAAATTTAAATTTTTGTCCAAGACTCCTGTTGATTACTTAAACAAAATAAACCTAAATTGTCAAAGGATTCGTGTAATGGTATAGTTAACTCCAATGGCCGATGAAATTATGATAGCTTCAGCATCGTTTCTGAACGCTTCGAAACTAACAAATGTGAACTTCCGAGGCGGTGTCATCAAACGGTGGCGCGTAATTGCTGGAGGGCTTCTGTCATAAGAACTTGTCGAGGAATTTTCTCAAGTTCAACGTCAACTTCTCTTCCATGATGAAACAAGAAAAACTGAGATATAACATAAATTTTGGAAGGGTCGTAAAGAGTTAAAAATCATCTAGGATTTTTCACCTGAAAAGAAAATAATAAACAATATCAACTTCTATAGAGATGAAATAGCGCCTGGAACAAATGCTGATCATATTAAAAGGCAGACATTACAATCGCAAGGAACATAGCAATAAGGCTGAAAAGTGTTTTTTTTTTGTTGTTGTTGTTCTTGTTGTTTTTAATGCCATCTCAGATTCGACATCTAAAACCAGTAAAATTTTGCCTGCGATAAGTCGTCATCCTTTTAAATTGTTCCATGCGCATTGCGCAATCACTTCAACACAACAAATAATAGAATAATAAAAACTAAGAAATACTTGGAATTCAGGGTCTTGCAAACCAGCGAAGTCAAACCAGTTTCTCAACCAGCTTCACAGAATATGAGGGGAATGGTTTAAGCTCGAAAATAGCTGCAAGTGTTGCTGAAAATATGTTTACTAAAAACTGACCTAATGGCCACGAAAACGACTCAATCTGCAAGAATTTACAAGACACAATGTGCCGCGCGGAACCATTAAAGATCAAGTGACGTCCAAATTAAATGCCATTAAAAAATTTGATGCAGTTGCAACCGAGCAACAAGCAATGCCTAAAACTCGAGAAGCAAGTAAATCAGCCGCTCTAATTAAGTATCGCTTCGGCCGGGCCTGAAAGGAAGCCTGATCTACGCAGCTTGCAAGCTCGGTATGACTCGGCTTCGGCCAACCCTTGTCATACTCTCAGGCGACTATGAAGTCGGAAAGGCGATTCTGACCAGAAACTGACTTCAATCGGGCGGCCAAGCAAAGCAAAAATAACAAATATAGGGATCACACGTGTATCTTTAAACGACATCCTTGAACATGCCAAGTCCCTTATACGACTACTTTGCATCCCAATGCCAAGTAGTTCCCACGAAGAGCATGTGTCTTTCAATGTCCCTTGTGCTTGACCCAGTGAACAAGTGTAACGTCGCACTGTGATGGATTTCTCAGAGAGTAATTGGCATAGTGTTCTTGTATTTGTTTGATGCGCATGCGCAACAGTAAAAAAATGGTACCGCTTGACAAAACCACGTTGCACGAGTTATACAAATTTGCAATATAGATAGGACGTGTATAATACTTATTGTGTATAAAAGGGTTACAAAATCTAACACTCATTATAGGACAGCTTGATAATGTAAAATTCATGACTTGAAATGATAACATACGTTTTTTTAACAATGAGTATATAATTCTTATTCAAATATTATTGATTTTATTAGTATTCGTTAAAATGCGTACTATCTGAAATGCTGAATAGATACACGATTGCATATTGCAAGATGGAGAATTCCTGGAAATTTTTTTACGGATTTCGTTTGATACAAACTTTACGCAAAACAACATATTATAGTTATGTATAAAATATAGTTTCCTAGGTATTGCTCAATGTATTTCAAAATTAGAAATATAGGCATCGCCAGAATGTAGCTGAGAGATTATCGTACCAACTCATTACCTTTATTACCACCAGAAGTTAATTTTAAGCATAGGTGAGGCCACAGCTGAAAAATGAATTTCACATGCGTCTAATATTTGTTTTCTTAATTCATGATAGTTTTGTTCTGTGGCACAGAAATAATTCAGCCTTGAGTTGAGAATCAGCGGTGTATAATGAGTGATGCACTAGAAAACGGGCAGAAATGGTGCTTCAGTTTTCACTATCAAATCCTCGATTCGTGGCACATCTCGGTGCAGAGAAGATAGGATGCCATCACACTACTTTGCTCGCTGGTCGATGTTCTGCCAATATCCTGTTGAGAGAAGAAAAAAAGAATCGTCAGTGATAAATATCATCAGAAACATGGGAGTAATTTGAGTTTGAATGATAAAAGTTACACCACTCGTTTTCACTAATGGCGCCCTCCACTTGTAAGGAACCGCCACTTCTGAGAATGGAGATATTTATCCCGGAATAGAATTCTACTCAACGGCGTTAATTCCTTTCAAAATTAGCTAATAAAATCAGCCAGTAGTGTCTTGAATTGTACTCAAAAACGGTCGTGTTCACTAAAATATCTACTAGAATATTGCACCTGAAATTGTAAATGCTAACAAGCACTGCACAAATTTCGATGGAATTCAGAATGGTAACAAAAAGTTTTTCTCAAAATACATGTAAGATCATATACGCGTAGCTCACTAGCTCATTACAAGATTGTATGCTTAGTGATTATCTAGGGAATAAATAATGACAATTAAAATGTAATGTATGACATTGACGCGTGTGCAAATATCAACATAACATATTTACATTGTTCAAATGTTTCCTACATATATCATGAGTTTTATCTTTAACAATGATTCGGGTGATTAATCAGAGCATAAAAAATACTCCTATTCATCAAGTGATTTAAAATTATGAGTAGTAAATTCGACTGTAAATTTTGAGCAACACTTCTAGGGAATGCAGCCCTAACAAAATTTAGAGGCGTGGGCGACCCTACATTAGGGCCGCCTAGGACTCGGGAGCACGTAAATCAGCTTCTCCATGTCCGCTCCGGTTCTGAGTTGGAAAGGCAGCCTCTGACCAGCTTGATAGCTCGGTATGACCCGGCTCGGCCAAGCCTTGTAATACTTTCAAGCGATTATAAAGTTGGAAAGGAGATTCTGACGTGAAACTGATTTCGATCGGGTGGCCAAGCAAACCCAAAATAACTTTGCGCCCAGTGTAGTGACTATTCGGCCGAAGCATATGCGGTCCCCGAATTTTGTTAGGGAATACAACATAATTGATAGAAAATAATATTCCCTTTGATCACCATAAATGCTTTGAGTATGTGATCAATCTACGTCTCCCGGGATCACAAATTATGACGATAAGTGAAGGCATATATACAGTTGTCGTGAAATAAAAGTTATAAAAGTTTTCCACGAAAAATTTCGTCCATCTCATATCTTATTAGGTATTAAAATGAGCAAAATAGAGCGAATGTTCAGTGTCATAAAATTGGATTAGCCTCCTCAACTCCGCCAATCAGTTCTAAAGTTTCCACTAACTTCCAATGATTTCTATAGAAAACAATTCAATTTCTTCGTTAGAAACTTTCCAGCTCACTCTCATTATTTGCAAACCATATTTCATTTCAAACCATATATCAAAGCTTCAGAGTTGGATGCGTTTCACAGGATGGAGAAGTCGGTGACAACAAAGGATGAGCGCGATCTACAAAACAAACAAACATGCATACAAAAATATTAGAGGTCTTGGTTTGGTGGGCTGGTTGAGCAAGCGTATTGTGATGACTGTCACGTAAGTGCTAACCTGGTTGGTCGACTCGTTTCAAGGTCAATATTAGTTCCAACCGAATTTAAATGTTTACGGACGGCTGGCACAAGATCTTCGTCATTGTTTTTAACCTACAGCAAACAAGCCTCGGTATGACTCTTGATTCAATGACAAGCCGAATGGTTATATTTTATATGTGTAAATTTTATGATAACAGAAGTTAAATTTATTAAGCGTTTGACGCCAGTACGTTTTTGTTGCTAAAATATGCGGGCGCGGTTACGAGTTTTTGCCGCTCATGAGGTTGGCAACGTGACTGCGGTGTACCTGAGTGGAGTCATGCAAGCATCGCAAAACCTGATACATTAACGGATATATCCTTGAGATATTCAAAATAATGCCACAAAGTCATATCCGATGGTTGTGTACAATTGAATTTTTTGCACTTCAAACAGAAACCTTTAGATCAGAAAAAAATCTATTGTCTTATACCACTTGTTTGAACCACGTCAAGAAATTATGAACCTCTTCCTATCATTGCCACATTTTATTAGGTTAACATTAAAATAGCTTGGGACTAGGAATGCCCGACCAGCTAGCAGTACTAATATGAAAATAATGGGCATGGGGCGTGTGCAAAAATAATGGGCATATGCAATGAACGATAAAAGCGCCATTTACCAACTTGCTTGATGCTTAATAACGACAGTCTGCCTCGTTGAATCTTTCTCTTGTTATCATTTGGCGGGGAACAGCCACACAATTCAATTAAATTGGAAGCATTACGATTAATAATGAGGAGCAAATAAATTATGCGGCGCTATGGAGGATTGCAGCGCTAGTGGAGGATTGTCGCGCTAATGGAGGATTGCAGCGCTAATAGAGGATTGCAGCGCTAGTAGAGGATTGCAGCGCTAGTGGAGGATTGTCGCGCTAGTGGAGGATTGTCGCGCTAGTGGAGGATTGCAGCGCTAGTGGAGGATTGCAGCGCTAGTAGAGGATTGCAGCGCTAGTGGAGGATTGTCGCGCTAGTGCATGAGGATTGCAGCGCTAGTGGAGGATTGCAGCGCTAGTGGAAGATTGACGCGCTAGTGGAGGATTGCAGCGCTAGTGGAGGATTACAGCGCTAGTGGAGGATTGCAGCGCTAGTGGATTGCAAGGCTAGTGGAGGATTGCAGCGCTATGGATGATGGCAGCGCTGTAAAGGATTGCGCAGCGCTAGAGCGCTAGAGGAGGATTGCAAGGCTAGTGGAAGAATGCAGCGCTATGGATGATTGCAGCGCTATGGATGATGGCAGCGCTAGTAGAGGATTGCGCAGCGCTAGAGGAGGATTGCAAGGCTAGTGGAGGATTGCAGCGCTAATGGAAGATTGCTCCACTAGTTGCGAATGAATCAAAGCATATATTATGTGTCGTCATGCACTTCCTCTTAATCTCACCGCGCTAGTATGCAGAGAAGATAATTCAATATCTTAAGCCTCTTACTAAGGAGCGCAAGCCCTCCGACTTGCCTGGTTTGTTCCTAGGGTATTTATTCACTATGAAGGTTGCCCATTACTCCGCTCTTATAGAGATATCTGAGCGATATTATTGTACTTTTCTCGATATTTTCTTCCCAAAAACATATAGCTTTAACAGATGCCACACGAAATAAAATTGTGAACATTGATGCAATTGAAGTCGATTATAACTTATGTTTATCACTTTAGGCTTAGAATGCACTTCTTAATTTATTATCCACTGACCAATATGCAAAAAGTTCAAAATTTTCCTCCATGGTGAGGGTCAAGGGCAAAC